GCCTCCTGTGGCATATGGGGTCAGCACTCTACTCCTGAGCCACAGGGGCCGCCCTAGATTTTTATGATTTTAACTGCAGAGAGTCTGGGTATAGTGTTTAATCCTCAAATTCTGTGTTCTAAGAACCACACCTCTCGTGGGCTAAAATACAATTTGTGACATACGATTCTGTGTGCATCCAACACCCCATGGAAGGCTGATAGATCCCCTGAGGCAAATGAGACAATCATACTTTGTTCCAGGCAATGAAAATAGAGATTCTGGAATGTTACTAAAGTCTCTGCTCATCTCGAACTGAAGATGGAAGGCGCCATTATGAGGTGGCCATCTCGAGCCACGTGCCCTGAACAGTAGCAAAAGCCAGATTGAAGGGAGGGGAAGAAACCAGCACGAGCCTGGAAGCAAAGACGGAAGCCAGGAGGCAGCAGAGGAAAGCACCAACACCCCGCTGTCCTGATGGGTAAGACTTTCTGGTTCCATGCTCATGGCTCCAGTTTTCTGAGGGCTCTGACCACATTTTCTGCACCAGGGTCCTGACAGATATCCTGATCTTGCCATCCATCATTCTATTTTTGCTAAAAAATAGCTTGTAACCATAATAAGCTCCATTAAGTAATGGCTATTCTTGACGTCCCCTAAGAAGAGTGGGTCAAACAGTTATTGCTCAGCAGCAGAGGGAAAAACACCCCACCTTGCAACACATTTTTTGTATCCATCAGCTCTTTTTACTACCTCGTCATTTCTCTGCATTGTTTCCAGAGGAAGACTATCTGTCTGTTTACACCACCAGTGGTCAGCACTACTCCAGTCAGGGGTCCTCATGACAACCTTGTTAATACATAATTTTCCTAAAAATAACAAGAAGAACCCTAGCACACCACTCCATTTCTTCTTCAATGTTCAATATTTGGGTTTTTGGTTTTGCCCCGCCCCCCGTTTTTTTAAGTTTGAGAATTAGTCAAGTGTGAGCTAGAGGATTCTACCCTCAAGAGTATATGTGAGAGCTCGGAGTCAATGCAAGGTAGTCTGTGGCGACCAACAGTCTAAGTAGTGACTGATATGCTTCCAGTAGGAAGGATATAATTTTAAATAATTTGTGCATACTGAATTTTAGTCTCAATTAAGAAAACATTTCATAAAACTACATATCATATAGGGTATATACATCTAATAGGGAAAAAAGTTGCTGAAATTGAGGAAAAAAAAGAGTATGTGAAAGTAAGCTCGTTCAACGTGGCGTCCTAGGCCCTGCACAGAACCCCACACAGGTTTAACACTCCATAAACACTTGCTGAATAAATGACAGGATGGAAGTAGGAGAGTGTCATAGAAAAGAACAGAGACTCTGGGGGGGAGAGTCCCCCTTGGAGTCTTCTTGGAGTCCCCCTTGGAGTCTTCTATCACTGGTGAGTCTCAAGATTCTGCTAAAAACTTCGTGTACACTATCTTATTGGATGCTCCTTCCCCCACCCCCTAAACCTTTAAGATATCATTTTCCCTCATATTATACTAAGCAACTTGTCCAAGGCCACCAGGTTAGTAACTCCAGACCTAAACCTCCAACCCCTAGTTTAAACTGATTCTTAGACTGACTCTGAGACTTTGGACAAATTATTTGATCATTCAGCTTAAGACAGTGATTCCTACGATGCTGTAAGGTAGTATTCGTAAAGTGCTTAGTACATGACCAGACAGAGGGACCTCCTCGATAAAAGGTAGTTATTATTACAGCTGCTAACTAGTGAATCTACAGTGAGAGGCTTTGAGCAGAGGGACCTTTGGTTTTATAAATTACACATTCTCTGGAAAACAGCCATTTTCAAGATCTAGGCAGCCAAAGAAAAAGAAGCAAATTAAGACCAATATTTATCTTGGACATGGTCTAAAATCTCCAAAAGGGAGGAATAGATAATCCTTTGCTAGCCTAAAAGCAATGACCATGCTTGAAGTTAGGGGGCGCCATACTGCTGTACGTGATAGAAAACCACCTACCCAGAGGGTCTTCAGCACCCTGGATTTTTCTCCAAGATAAAATAGAAAATTCTTACCATTAACAACTTTTTTTGGCAGGGAGAGGGGCCATCTAATATTTCTTTCTGTTAATATATTCTTCCACAATTTCAAGTTTCATTCCCAATGCCTTTGCTATTGCTTCATTGAGATAAAGGGTAATATTATTCAATGACCTTTCAGAATCCAGCAAAAACAAGAGCATTTAATTGGGATAGATCCATTAATAATCACAACCCCAAGAAATGTAAAGTGGCTTTAAAAAATGGTCTAAAATATATCTATATACTGACAACTGTTGAAAGTCGGTGATGGGAGCTTAATATATTAGCCTATGTATACATATGTTTGAAAATGTCCTTAATGAAAACTTACAAATAAATTTAAAATCAATGTACACATTCTGGCTTTTAAAAAATTAGTTTTGGGCTCGGCACCAGTAGCACAGTGGTTATGGCGCCAGCCACATACACCAAGGGTGGTGGGTTCAAACCGGGCCAGGGCCTGCTAAACAACAATGACAACTACAACCAAAAAATAGCTGGGCACTGTGGTGGGCACCTGTAGTCCCAGCAACTTGGGAGGTTGAAGCAAGAGAATCGCTTAAGCCCAGGAGTTTGAGGTTGCTGTGAGCTGTGATACCACGGCACTCTAACAAGAGTGACATAGTTAGACTCAAAAAAAAATTACTTTTGACCAAAAACCTACTTGATGGATGCAGCAGGAAAATTGGTCTATAAGAGACTTGGTTGAAGGAAGAAAATCAAGCTAAGAAGAAAAATGGTTAAATTAAGGTTGCACTGGTATAAATCACATAGAAATGGAATGTATTTCTACAAAACTTTAATAATGAACCTCAAACAAGAGACCCAAGGCCACAAGACATCGCCAAGGAGACCTCTCTACACAAACAAATCAAACTTCTAAAAAATTATTTACTATACTAAGTGTTTGTGCGAGCTTGGTTTGCACTGGGTTCTGATTGGCCAGGGAAGATTCCAGTCTAGAGGTGATTTATCTAAAGGGCAGGAATGAAGAGCTCTGTGCCAACCCAGTGAGCGTGTAACTGGAAATCCAGGGATGGGATAGGATGAAATTTCTCTGTTCAACTCACAGTCACTTTTTGACAGGGTTAACTGAAAAGTTATTTATTCCAGCCAAAAGATAACCCTAACTGAAGAATCCTAGCTACAGATCTCTTTTTTCCTCACCCTGATTTACACAGTACTTTTCATCGCATTTCACTTCAACTCTAGACTGAAACCCGACCCCTATCCATTAAGCCAAAGCTAAATAAAAATATTTAACTTTCGAATATGGTCGTGACCTCTTTCTACCAATTGAGTCTGACCTCTCTTAGAGCAAATTCTGTTTCTACAACGCTGGGGAGAAATTCCTAACACCTGAGTTTAGAAGAAAAGTTTAAAATCTGATAAGCTATCAGTCTTCCAGGCTGACTCTACAAACACCCTGGTGACTCTGAAGCTAACTCCCCCCTCTTCCACCTCACGAGAAAAGCAAGGTCATTTAGTGCAGAAGCCAAACGAATTAAAAGACAAATGATTTTCTAATCCACCATCAAAAAGCTAGGAGAAGAGAAAAGAAACTTTCACGTAGCTCTGCTGCACAGTTCAGCTACCACTGATTTTTTCTCAAATCAAAGTAAAATTGAAAAAGCAGAAATTTTCTTCTAAGAGTTATTTTTTTGTGTGCACTAATAACAATGCTTTCAGATACTGGATTCAGGTCCTCCCGGCTGGAAAGGTGCCCAGCAACCTGTGTCTCCCGGCTCTAACTCACCCACGTCAACCACATCACCGTTCACCACTTCACGTCCACACGTTTTCAGTCTTTACCACCTGCCCTTGATCAAGAGTGCTTGGAGGAGAAATGAGACGACAGTTTGTTTTATCGCAGGATCAATCTGAAATTGAGAAATGCTACATTTCGTCAAAGAGTACTACCTCAGTGAATGTTCTCAGGCTCCTACGCTTTGCTTCACCGTGTTTGAGTAAAAGTGTTCCACAGTTCTGACAGCCCCTTGACCAGACCGAAACCCAAGTGCCAATTACTCAGCATGGCAAATCACTCAAACTAGCTGGACTGTCCTGGGAGGAAAGCCTGGGGAAGACTATCCCAGCCTAATGTCCATGCACCATCATGGCACTGCATGTTCCCATATTTCTGCAAATCTACCTGGATATGTTTCCAAGATAAATTACCAGCCAGGGAGTCACTTCCGGCTTGTGAATAAAAACACGGGGTTCTTTCCAGAGGCACTTGACCGCTCTCACGGGCACTTAACTGGCTGTTTAGAGTGGATTTAGCCATCAAAAGGAAAAAGAAGGTGGTGATGTAGAGCTCTGCACCAGGAAAGAATTGTCAGTCAAGTAGATAGTCTAACAAGTGTCCTGGATCCAAGATGTCAAAGGCAACATTCAGAAGTGAATCCTTTTACCCTTTCACACGTCAAACTCTTCCTTCCCACACCTGCCAAATTCTACAGAGCAACTGCCACATTGCAAAATCACAACTGTGTCCAGAACCTCGGATTGCTTTTGCAGGGATCCCTCCCAGACCACAACCAAGGGCAATGTCAGGTGGCTTTAAAGTAGGCATTTAAGATCATGAGCACTTACACAAGGTTTCTAACATCCTTTCCCTCTGGATGTTTGAGAATCTCCGTGTCTCAAAACTAGACCAAAGCCCCGGCTAGTCCAGCTTTTACCACCCACCAGTCATTATCTCAAAGTCAACACAAGGTCATCATAAAGATACACTTGAACCCCTGAATGTGGACTTTTGCTCAGAGAGGCTGGGGAGAGGGTGTGTGGGGCAGGAGGATGTAGAGGGGAGAGATAAACCAGGCTGACTTCTTGGTGATAAACCAAAGTTCACTTGCAGCCCTGCGAAGGCGACCTACAAGGAGCTCGGAATGCCTCCGGTCCCCACGGGTGGCAGCTGCGGCAGGGCGCCCGCGCGCGTCCTACCTTGGACCTCTCCTTGACGTAGTATTTGCCCAGCCTGCTCCCACAGTACAGGACCAGCCTGTCGATGAGGGACAGGAGGAAGCTGATGGCCTCGCAGCCCTCCTCGTTGCCCCCGATCCACGTGATCTGGTCGCCCCGCAGGTGCCGCTTGGAGACGCCGGCGCGCGGCCCGGCCAGCTGGCCGTCCCTCAGGACGCCGTTAGAGTGCAGCTGCTTCACACGCTCCAGGACGCAGTCGCCCACCACCTCGCCCAAGAAGTTGTCCAGGTAGCAGAAGCCCACCTCGTGCAGACAGGGCACGATGTACTCCAGGGCGATTTTCTCCAGATCCAGCCTCATGATGTGTCCCAGGGGCATCTCGCCCTCAGAGCCGAGGTCCGGGACCCCCAGCGTGCACCCGGGCCTGGAGCACCCTACACCAACGCGAAGCTGAAGCGCGGGGAGAGTGACCCCGGGTTCAGCAACCTGCGGCGGCGACGGTCCCCGAGCCACCTCAGCGCCAGGGACCGGGGAAAGTTGCTCGTAACTCTGGGGAGGAGGGATCCCCTGTTCAGGGACGCGCGGGAGTAGCGCAGGGCTCCACCACCCAGCACCGGAGCGGCTCAGCCACGAGTCAGAGGGCCCCTTTTGGAGATGCCAAGCAGCCACTGCTGCAGCTGCGGCCAGATGAGCGGAGAGGCTGAGGTTCGGCCCCTAAGCCCGGCGACTCCGCGCGTCACCGGCCCCGCCCCGGGACCGCCTCCGGGACAGCCCTTCCCCCCGGCCCCGTCACGGCCGCCCAGTCTCCCCCTCCCCTAGGGATCCCGGCGAGCCCGGCGCCAGCCGTAGTTGTTTGTGACCTGAGCTGGGGCTGGAAAACAAGCTGAATGTTTAGAATGCTCCGGATTTACATATTGTTTTGCATAAAATCCCATAACAAACTTGAAGACCTCCATCCCCCGCTCTGCAAATGTAAATGGAATTAACTGCACAGTTCACTGCCACATTCTGCCCGGGCCACCCCACAGGCTTTTGAGCAAAATAGGAAACCCAGGAACAAATATATTATTAAACAGCAGTCTGCGTGCTTTACGTGGTGGCTTTTTTTATTCTGCTGTTCTCGACTGTTTGACCCAGGTCAAGCCACTGAGAGATTAGGAGGGATGCAGTTTTAACCGAAATCAACACATTTACAATTCGCTCAGCCCCTACTGTGCGCAAAGCCCACCAGGCTCAGTGGGGGCTGGGGGATGGGCACGAGGCAGAAACGCTGGGTCGTGGCTGGCTGAACTCTGCAAATACTGAGTTTTGCTTTGCTTGATGTTTTCATCTACTTATCTTTCAAGCTTCTTATTAAAATCTGATGTCCTGCGATTTGCCTTCAGTATTAATCACATGCTGTGTAACCGCTGGCATAGTTATGTTCCCCCCAAAGGCACACTGTATCCCAGGTCCGTCCTCTCACTTTGCCCCAACCGCTGAACTTCCCTGGGAGGGGTGGACACCTCTCAGAACACTTTCTAATTATCCACAGATAAGCTGACTGCTTTATGGATTTTTATTTTCCTTTGCTATTGAACACCGGAGATCAAAATCAGGGCGGGGGGAACAACCTTCATAACCTGGATGCAAAGCCATTTCCACATTTTTAATTTCACTTTAGTGAGCACTCGGGTTCTTCATTTAAATTGAACAAAAGAATGCCCAGGCTTTTCAGGTATGGTTTATTGTGTGCACAACCCCCCACGGCTCTTTCACTTTTATTCTCCTTCCAATAGCCCTCTCTGCCTCTGAGGGGGAAATGGAGTAAGGTCCGGGCCAAGAAGAAAGAGCCGAGAGGAAAGGAAGCTGCCAGGAGGAGATGGGAAAGAAACAGACTGGCCCACCGCCAAGTGAGAACCTGAGGGACGCTCAGGACAGCGGATGGACGATTTAAGAAACTTTGGTAAAGCTCCTTGCTCTATGAGAGAGGTTGTCCACCACGTAGGAAATCAGTTGGCACCTTTGGTATGCCTTTCAGCAGCAGGTGCCGCTCTTTGGAGTAAAGGCTTGAATTGGCCATTGCTCAAGAGCTGTTGTCAAAATTCCCTCGCCAGCTCCCCGAGGACAGGAGAGCATCATTTTTGGAACCCCAAGGCTTAGTACCTAGTAGCTACCTAATAAATAGTTACAGAACCCAGTCTCTGACCCTGAGCCAAAGCAACCTCCACATGGGATTCGCTATGTCTGTCTGTGGGGAAGCCTGTAGAAGGTCCATTTATAAGGACAGAGAGAGTCCCCAAAGAGGACTCACTGGAAGAGAGTGTCAGATTAGCCTGGCCCAAAACAAAACCTCAGAGGCCAGTGAGGGGCTGGGGGGGACAGTTGGGACTTCTGCAGAGCATTTGACTCTTGGCTTTGCCAGCCTGCCCAGCCATGGTGGCTGTTTGAGTTCTGGGAGCAGGAGACCCAATATGAAAGCTGAGGACTGTTTCTTTGCAGCAAGGAGTGAAATGGAGTATAATACTGAAAAGGAAGGAGACCCTCCTCCCTACCTCTGCCTGAAACTTGCATGGCAGGAACCACTTTGGCTCCTCCAGTGATCTCCTCCAGGGACAGTAAGATAAGGGAGTGACCAGGAGAAGCCTGGCAGGAGGCAGCCGGAATGTGTACCCTGCCAGGCAGTGGCTTGTGCTTTCTACAGCTTTGGGGACTACATGGACCTTGGAAGTAGATATTCCTAAAGAGGGCCGGAGTTTAAAAGGGGATAAATGACAAATAATCCTAGGTAGCTGGCTGGAAGTGTTCTAGCTGAAGGTTCTTTAGAGATACACATGATACAGCAGAAATAATGAAGAGGGAATTCATAGGGGGCGCGCTGGAAGGGGTGGTGGTTGGTCAACTACAGAAAATTGCATACCCACCCTCCAGAATGAATGTACTGACCCAGAACTTTAAGTCCCAGGACTAGGTGAAACATAACGTCTCAATAATCTCAGAGAGAGCTGGGCAAAGTGGCTCACACCTGTAATCCTAGTACTCTGGGAGGCGGAGAAGGATGTATCACTTGAGCTCAGGAGTTTGAGACCAGCTTTAGTAGAGACCCTATCTCTACTAAAAATGGAAAACTTAACTGGGTATTGTAGCGGGCATCATAGGCCCAGCTACTCTAGAGGCTGAGGCAAGAGGATCACTTGAGCTCAAGAGACTAAGGCTGCTGTGAGCTATGATTTTATAGCACTCTACCCAGGGCAACAGAGGGAGACTCTGTCTCAAAAAAAAAAAAAAAAAATCTCAGAGTAAAATCGTAACTAGTCTAGTTATTACTAGAGCAACAGTCTAAGCAAGTTCTACTGACTGTTTGATGGCTTTAAACTGTTGTAGATTACTTTGCGAAGACTGGGCAGTTTAGAAAGGAATTCACTCCCTTGGCGCCATCCCTGCTTGGCAAGGGCTCTTATTAATCAATCAAGGACTCCCAATCAGCTCAGGGCTGCCAGCACTGCATCTGGCAGAGGAGCCAGAGATACTGTGACTGGTAAAAATCAGAGTGTGTGATTACACGGAGGGGCACAGACAGGCTGGAGCCAGGCACGGGCTCCAAGTCTGCGCATCAGAGAGGTAAAACCAACGTTAATTGTTAAAGTGCATTTGTTTTAGTTATTTGTTCATTAATTTGTGTCATTATAATAATGCATATTAAAATACCTCTCCATAATAACTGAAACTAATTTCCCTGAAATCTAATTACAACACTGTCTTCCAGAGTGCATCCGTAGTACAGAGGCACTCCCTGGAGGAGCAGGGGAGAAAGGAGGATGTTGAATTGCTTTATCATGGAATTTGCACTGGAAGGGATATTATGGTCACCTAATACATCAGATGAGGAAACCAAGGTCTAGCAGGGCTAAACATTAGTGACGTTCCTAAGTAAAGGGTGAGTGGAAGAGAAGTGTGGGATGCCTCTGCCTTCTCAGCCCTAACAAAGAGCACACTCACTGTCCTGTTTATGCATGTATGTGTTTTTTAAAAATAAGGTGACATTCATGAGCAGCACCTGTGGCTCAGTGGGTAGGGTGCCAGGCCCATATAAGAAGGGTGGTGGGTTCAAACCCAGCCCCAGCCAAACTGCAACAAAAAAATAGCTGGGCATTGTGGCGCCTGTAGTCCCAGCTACTCCCAAGGCTGAGGCAAGAGAATCACCTAAGCCCAGGAGTTGGAGGTTGCTGTGAGCTGTGACGCCACAGCACTCTACCCAGGGCGATAAAGTGAGACTCTGTCTCTACCAAAATATAAATAAATAAATAAATAAAAATAAGGTGACATTCACAAAACATAAAATTAACCATTTTATAGTGAACAATTCAGCGGCATTTAGTACATTCACAATGTCGTGCAATCACCACCTCTCTAGTTCCAAAACATTTTCCCACCCCTAAAGAAAACTGTACCTATTAAGCAGGTATTCTCCACCCCTTCTGCTCCGCAGCCCCTGGCCACCATTGGTCTTTCTCTCTGGATGCAACTATGTCAGATATTTCCTAATAATGAACACACACCATCTGCAACCTTTCATGACTTAGCGTGATGTTTTCCAGGCTTACCCACATTGGACTTCAGTTTTTTTTTAATAGCTGAATGATATTCCATTGTATGACTATAATATACCACAATTTGCTTATCCATTCATCCTCTGATAGATATTTGAATGATTTCTACCTTTTGGCTATTATGAATAGTGCTGCTTTGAGCCTGCATGCGTCAATTCTCAATACCTAGGAGTACGATTTGGGGGTCAGGTGATAATTCTATGTTTCACTTTTTGAGGAATCCCCAAACTGTTTTCCCCAGCAGCTGTACCATTTTGCATTGCCTTGGGTAGTGTGGCAGGGTTCCATCCGGTCTGTTTATCTGTGATGAGAACTGTCTGCATTTCTTCTGCCTCCTCAAAGACCAGCTACACCTGAAGTTCCCTCTTCCTAGCTGGTACCTGAATATTATTTTGTGTGTTTTTGCCATACCATATTATCAAGAGATTTATCATTATTTTGTATGACTTTAACATGGGCTGGGGCTATTTATTTATTTATTTATTTATTTTTGAGACAGAGTTTCTCTCTGTCGCCCTGGGTTGAGTATGGTGGTGTTTTCATAGCTCATGGCACCTTCAAACTCTTAGACTCAAGCAATCCTCTTGCCTCAGTTTTTCTATTTTTAGTAAAGACGGGGTCTCACTCTTCCTCAGGCTGGTCTTGAACCTGTAAGCTCAAGCAATCCCCCCCTTCTTGACCTCCCAGAGAGCTAGGATTACAGGCATGAGCCCTGCCTGGCTATTTTATTTATTGATTAAGCAAACACTTTTACAACACCTGGCACTGTGCTAAAAGTTTTTACAAACACTACTTCAATCAATTTGTAAGTACTGTAATTGTTCCCTATTGTGAAGACGACAAAAGAAAGACTAAGGAACTTGTCCAAGGTCACAAGGAAAGAATGTAATAATGCAGGAGAAAATATGAGAGATTCCAATGTCGTAAAATGGAGAAAAAAGTCATCCTGAGCCTAGTGTCTGCCATAAAAGTGGTTTTGTCCTTAAGCACTCTTTTCTTGTAACTCTTAGTGAGAGCACTTTCACCCAAAATGGCAATTTTAATTATTGGTTTCCTTACTGATATTTGGTACAGAAGAAAGATAAGTAAAAT